AGCAATGATTTTTCACGAGATGGCACTAAACACTGCTCAGCTAACTCTATAAACCTGCTCTTAATTAGCAATATAGATTGTATCTGTTCTCCAGTTACTTGACAGAGAATAGAACCTTAAATTTTCTAAACTGAAACATTTATCAAAAGCTTAGCTAAATGTCTTCAAAACAGTGTTGCATAAAAAAGCTTAGCTACTAGAAATAATCTTCACAGAGAACTGTCTGCAAGTATAGATCCTGTCCATTCTACCACCACCTAGATTAAGCCAGAGGATCAGAGAAAAATCCCTGGAAGAAAAGCTTTATCTAAACTGCAATAAGGCATTATGACAGTCTACACTGAAGGTATTTAAGTGTAGCCCTATGTAACTTGTTTTATATTTATCACAGGGAAAATGATGTTTACTGTATTTATTTCTTCTCTTGAGGACATACAGGCAAAAAATCATTCTTCAGTATCATTTTTTTTAGTATCAGGAATAGCTATGTTTCTCATTGGTAACTATTTTGCTTATAATATCAGAGACTGTTAATTATTACTGGATGTTTTGTTCTTCCTACTAGCTACTCAGAAACTCTGAAACAGTGTATTACAACATATTTGGCTACTAACTAAAATCTTTATGTACTAGATATCTTGCCTCTCCATATCCTCTCTCTCCATTTTGATCATACTCTGTTCACTGGGAGACTAATTTGAATCAGCAAGTTCCCTTGCTATTTCTGAGGTGATTCAGCTGGGAAACGGAGGATTTCGAGGAAGAAACAAGAAACACTTCCCAGATGCTATCCTACAAAACTGCCTTGACTAGCTGCATCCCATTCTGACTGCCTTTTTCATATAACTTTCTTTATCCAGGTTCTGGTATCTACTTCCTGCCTTCTCCTGCTTTCAATAGACCCAGAGTACATTATTATTCCTTGTGACTTCCTATACCCTGTTCATATACTATACCCAATATACTACTCTTCAAAGAAATTTCCTTTACTAAATTCTGCCCAAACTACCTAATTAGAGCACACAATCTGTTTCCTGCCAAGACCCTGAGACTATATACTCTGGTGTCATATCTTATATTTCTTACCATTTTTTTTAAAAAAAACTTCTTTTCCTTCCTTTGCCAAATTCCTTACTGACTAAAAATTCATATACAAATTCAATTCTTTCATTGCAATTAGAATTTTTCATAGGATGTAGAAATAATAAGATGCAAAAGCTGATTCTAGGTAATGAGACAAGCAAACAAATATAATAAAGCTTAGTGGGTCTAACAGAAACACAAAGAACAGTTCTACTAAGAAGAAATTCTAGAAGTCAGAAAAGATTTTAGAGTAGCTAACACTTGGTCTGTCTTTAAAGAGAAGAAAAAGTGGCCGGGCGCGGTGGCTCACGCCTGTAATCCTAGCTCTCTGGGAGGCCGAGGCGGGTGGATTGCTCGAGGTCGGAAGTTCGAAACCAGCCTGAGCAAGAGCGAGACCCCGTCTCTACAATAAATAGAAAGAAACTAATTGGCCAACTAATATATATAGAAAAAATTAGCCGGGCATGGTGGCTCATGCCTGTAGTCCCAGCTACTTGGGAGGCTGAGACAGAAGGATCGCTTGAGCCCAGGAGTTTGAGGTTGCTGTGAGCTAGGCTGACGCCACGGCACTCACTCTAGCCTAGGCAACAAAGTGAGACTCTGTCTCCAAAAAAAAAAAAAAAAGAGAAGAAAAAGTCCACCAGCAGACAAAGTGTGAGTTGCGGTGATGAGGAAAGGAGTACTATTGGTAAAAGCATCTAGGTGAGAGAGTGAAAGTGATGATGATTAAGAACAAACACTGGGGCCGGACGCAGTGCACGCCTGTTATCCTAACACTCTGGGAGGCCGAGGCGGGCGGATTGCTCGAGGTCAGGAGTTCAAAACCAGCCTGAGCAAGAAACAGTCTCTACTGAAAATAGAAATTAATTGGCCAACTAATATATATATATATATATAAAAATTTAGGCAGACATGGTGGCGCATGCCTGTAGTCCCAGCTACTCAGGAGGCTGAGGCAGCAGGATCACTTGAGCCCAGGAGTTTGAGGTTGCTGTGAGCTAGGCTGACTCCACGGCACTCACTCTAGCCTGGGCAAGAGAGCAAGACTCCGTCTCAAAATAAAAAAAAAAAAAGAACATTGGCCGGGTGAGGTGGCTCACACCTGTAATCCTAGCACTCTGGGAGCCTGAGGCAGATGGATTGCTTGAGCTCAAGAGTTTGAGATCAGCCTGAGCAAGAGTGAGACCCTCATCTCTACAAAAAAAATAGAAAAATTAGCCAGGTGGTGGTACACGCCTGTAGTCCCAGCTACTCAAGAGGCTGAAGCAGGAGAATGGCTTGAGCCCAGGAGTTGGAGGCTGCAGTGAACTATGATGATACCACTGCACTCTAGCCAGAGAGATAAAGCAAGACTCTGTCTCAAAATATATACACACACACATATATATGATATTATAATAAAGAAGTAAAATAATAAGGAAAGTACAGGGATGAGGAAACTTAGGAGGATTTTAAAAAACTACAAAATGAGAGTAACAGATTTCATCCAATGACACTAAGAAGTCCAGTAAAATGAGTAAAAGTCCAGTAAAACTAAAAGAATGTTGCAGACTAAGCAATCAGTAAATTACTAAAGACCTTTTCCAGAACAGTTTCAACTGAACAGTAGGGAAGAAGCTTGATGCAGTATATGTTGAATATAGAGTGTTTAAGGGTGATTAAATTACTAGAACTTAGCAGCATATGAGATGAAAAGCTACTAACATTAACTCTTAGGGATTCTGCTTACTAAGTGTTGTCTCCTGGGAACCTTTCCATAAGGGTGGCAATATTGCCTTTCTTTACATGTGTGCTTACTACTGAGTTTTTCAAAATTAAACAATGCATTGTAGGGATATATGCATGGGTGATAATATATAAAGGAAAGCAAGGAATAAATAATCCAAATAAGAGGACAATGGTTACCTTTAGGAATATGGGGTTCAAATGGGCAGGGGCTCACAAGAAGATTCTAAGGCTCTGAAAAATGTTCTATTTCTTGACCTGGGTTAAGTGGGTAACTATTTTATTTATATATACGTATATATATTTAAGTATTTTTTAAGCCATACATGTATATGTTGGCCATTCTTCTGTATAAAATACATTTCACAAACTACTTAATACATAAATCTGAGATAATAAGATACAAATCAAGCCAAAAACCTGGTTTTTTTTTGGAGACTAAAACAGAAAAACCTAACTGTACCAAGTGTCATTTTTACATGATATTGTATTACCAGAATAAAATTTTCAAACAACTCTAAGTCTATTCCTCAGATAGGAAAGAGAATAAAAAGATTCTACTTTGCAAACATATTACTAAAAGGGATTTTCTCTAGTTTTCAAATCATTTCAGTTACAAAATCAGTAAGAGAAAACAGCCTTCAACTCTCAAATCTATTTCTTTTTTTTTCTTTTCGAGACAGTCTCACTTTGTTGCCCAGGCTAGAGTGAGTGCCATGGCATCAGCCTAGCTCACTGCAACCTCAAACTCCTGGTCTCAAGCATCCTCCTGCCTCAGCCTCCCAAGTAGCTGGGACTTACAGGCATGAGCCACCATGCCCGGCTAATTATTTCTATATATATTAGTTGGCCAATTAATTTCTTTGTATTTATAGTAGAGACGGGGACTCGTTCTTGTTCAGGCTGGTTTTGAACTCCTGACCTGGAGCAATCCGCCCTCCTCGGCCTCCCAGAGTGGTAGGATTACAGGCGTGAGCCACCGCGCCTGGCCTTCTCAAATCTATTTCTTACTCAAAAAAATGCAGATTCTTACAATGATTTTAAATAAGATAAACTTAATTATATCATGAAGTTGATCTCCCAGATGTAATCTTATGCGTGTCATATAAATTTGGAAGGGAAATGCTGTAGTTCTGATATTTGGCAATTTACTTTAAACATAAACGCATACCAACACCTCCAAAAATACCTTATCATATATTTCCCAAAATAATTTCCATTTCAATTATAAAAATTCTACTTTTAGGAATAAATATGCTTACCTGTTCCCTACCGAATCTTGAGAGATCTGAAAGTTTGGAATGATAGAAGAAACGCCATATTCATCCTGATACTTCTTACAAGATTTGTAATGATGTCTCATGCGATAGAATTTAATCTGTAGGGTGAATATTTTTGTAGTTTTAATTTATGGTCTTGATTGGTAATCAATTCTAATGCTACTTTAGTGATATTAGCTTCTATTTGAGCATTTTCCTGACTATTAGAAATACTGCGATAAACATTTTATGTGTATTATCTATTTTAATTCTCTGAACAACCCAATCAATTGTAAATACTTTTATGGGTGTGGAAACTAATTTTAGAGGGGAAATGTGACTTGTTCAATGCTCCCTAGTCAGGGAACTCAGATTCTGTGATCTGTTATTTACACTGTTACTTTTCAAATTTTGTTAGTATAGATGAAGTATATTGTTATGTTTGTATTTGTTTGTATTTATAGGGGATTTGATTAAAAGTATTACTTGCTCTAGATCCCAGATATATATACATCTCTATTTATCTGGGTCTCTTAAAAGCAAAATGATAAATGGGGGCCTCATCTTGCTCAGGCTGGTTTTGAACTCCTGACCTGGAGCAATCCGCCCTCCTCGGCCTCCCAGAGTGCTAGGATTACAGGCGTGAGCCACCGCGCCTGGCCTTCTCAAATCTATTTCTTACTCAAAAAAATGCAGATTCTTACAATGATTTTAAATAAGATAAACTTAATTATATCATGAAGTTGATCTCCCAGATGTAATCTTATGCGTGTCATATAAATTTGGAAGGGAAATGCTGTAGTTCTGATATTTGGCAATTTACTTTAAACATAAACGCATACCAACACCTCCAAAAATACCTTATCATATATTTCCCAAAATAATTTCCATTTCAATTATAAAAATTCTACTTTTAGGAATAAATATGCTTACCTGTTCCCTACCGAATCTTGAGAGATCTGAAAGTTTGGAATGATAGAAGAAACGCCATATTCATCCTGATACTTCTTACAAGATTTGTAATGATGTCTCATGCGATAGAATTTAATCTGTGAATTATTGATTAAAATATGATTTTTAATTTAAAATAGAACTCACAAGAGTTTAGATACTGTCAACAAGAGGGAAAAAAGATAAAAACAGATTATTAAGAGGTTTTTTTAAAAGAAGAAAATGACTTAATCTTTTAGTAGGAGCTAAAAATATGTCCATTAGATGGAGAGACCATACAGAAAGAAGAGTTCATCTGTCCATAAACTCACTGTAAAAAATACTAAGAAATAATCATATGCTTACAAAGATACTACTACTAACAGACAAAAACTGTTTTGCACAGCATCTGCAGCTACCAGAAAACTTTCTCATGATATCTTCAAGGTCTAAGGCCCGTTCAGGACATGCTCTCTCTCTTCTAGTCACATTTCCACGACACAAGGGACAGTGTATTCCACTTTCTCTCATTGCTGTCAGGAAACATTTTCTACAGAAACTAAATCAAACATTATAATACATTAATTACAAAAAAAATTACTTCTGTCATCTATGATTAAACACAAACAAGTGATTATGGATATGTATTAATGCTAAATAAGTTAGGCTATTCATATGTACATAAATCAGAATTTTAAGAAATGTATATGTATTTCTCAGAGAATAAGACTGATAACTGGACTAGACAAGAATACAAAAGAAACTACAATCAAGTCTGCCTTACACCTTTTCAAAATAGTATATGAAAAATATTTATATTATATAACATTAACAGATAAAGCATGGTACAAAGGACAAACTGCATCTTATCCTGGCTCCGCCATTTAGTACCTGCGTGATCTTAGGCAACACACTAAACCACACTGAGTCTCCATTTCCTCCCTTACAGTAGAAAAGGATGGATCACATCAGCTTTTGTCTCAAACTGATGCACATCAAGCTGTTGTTCCACAAGATTTATATAAGAGTACACAAATTGATTTGGAAAGTCCTAAGATAAAGTTAATAGGTTTCTCCCCTAAGAAAAACTTAAGTGTTGCCCAAACTTATTTGATCAGGAAACATGAAAATTTCCCACAACAGTGTGCAATGGAATATTTCTCAATAACTTGAGAAATATTTAAGAATACTTTCAGCTTTAAACATTTATCATTTTGCTTTTAAGAGACCCAGATAAATAGAGATGTATATATATCTGGGATCTAGAGCAAGTAATACTTTTAATCAAATCCCCTATAAATACAAACAAATACAAACATAACAATATACTTCATCTATACTAACAAAATTTGAAAAGTAACAGTGTAAATAACAGATCACAGAATCTGAGTTCCCTGACTAGGGAGCATTGAACAAGTCACATTTCCCCTCTAAAATTAGTTTCCACACCCATAAAAGTATTTACAATTGATTGGGTTGTTCAGAGAATTAAAATAGATAATACACATAAAATGTTTATCGCAGTATTTCTAATAGTCAGGAAAATGCTCAAATAGAAGCTAATATCACTAAAGTAGCATTAGAATTGATTACCAATCAAGACCATAAATTAAAACTACAAAAATATTCACCCTAGGGCCGGGCATGGTGGCTCATGCCTGTAATCCTAGCACTTTGGGAGGCCGAGGTGGGCAGATTGCTCAAGGTCAGGAGTTCGAAACCAGCCTGAGCAAGACCCCGTCTCTACCAAATATAGAAATAAATTAATTGACCAACTAAAAATATATATACAAAAAATTAGCCGGGCATGGTGGCGCATGCCTGTAGTCCCAGCTACTCGGGAGGCTGAGGCAGTAGGATCGCTGAGCCCCGGAGATTGAGGTTGCTGTGAGCCAGGCTGACACCACGGCACTCACTCTAGCCTGGGCAACAAAGTGAGACTCTGTCTCAAAAAAAAAAAAAAAAAAAAAAATCACCCTAACCAGGAAACAATGCAAAGTAAACAAGATCAAGATACTAATTTTCACTTGTCAAGCTAAAATCTAGTTTTAAAACTAATAAATATAAAGAGTGAGACCCCGTCTCTACTAAAAAATAGAAAGAAATTACCTGGCTAACTAAAAATCTATATATATAAAAATTAGCTGGCCTGTAGTCCCAGCTACTCAGGAGGCAGAGGCAGGATTGCTTGAGCCCAGGAGTTTGAGGTTGCTGTGAGCTAGACTGACGCCACGGCACTCTAGCCTGGGCAACAGAGACTGTCTCAAAAAACAAAAAAACAAAAAAAAATAATAAATATAACCAACACTAGGCATGGTGATGTGTGGCCATACATAGTCCTAGCTACTCAGGAGGCTGAGGTGGAAGGATTGCTTGAGCACAGAGTTCAAAGCCAGCCTGGGCAACAAAGCAAGACTTCACATCTCAACAAACATAAAATAAAAAAATGAAAAAATTTTAAAAAGTATTAGTGGAGATATAAGGATATGTTTCACACTTCCAGGTAATAATATGTCAATACTAATCAGAATCCTTAAAGAGAAGGTGTCCTAAAAGTTGTGCCTCATGCCTGTAATCCTAGAACTCTGGGAGACCGAGACGGGAGGAACACTCAAGGTCAGGAGCTTGAAACCAACCTGAGAAAGAGTGAGACCAGGTCTTTACTAAAAATAGAAAGAAATTAGCAGGACAGCTAAAATAATATAGGAAAAATTAGCTGGGTATGGTACTCAAGAGGCCAAAGCAGAAGGATTGTGTAAGCCCAAGAGTTTGAGGTTGCTATGAGCTAGGCTGACACCACATCACTCTATTGTGGGCAACAGAGTAAGACTGTCTCAAAAATAAGTCTTAGTGCCATTTTTTAAAGTAGTTTTTTAAACTCTTTGTAATTCTTTTATTAATTTATTTATTTTAGAGCTGTAGTTTTTATTTATTTTTTTTGAGACAGTCTCACTTTGTTGTCCAGGCCAGAGTGAGTGCCGTCACATCAGCCTAGCTCACATCAACCTCAATCTCCTGAGCTCAAGGGATCCTACTGCCTCAGCCTCCCGAGTGGCTGGGACTACAGGCATGTGCCACCATGCCTGGCTAATTTTATATATATATATATATATATATTTTTTTTTTTAAGTTGGTCAATTCATTTGTTTCTATTTTTAGTAGAGATGGAGTCTCATTCTTGCTCAAGCTGGTTTCAAACTCCTGACCTTGAGCGATCCACCCGGCTCGGCCAGAGCTATAGTCTTGTTATGTTGCCCAGGCTGGCCTGAACTTCTGGGCTCAAGCAATTCTACTGCCCCAGCCTCCAGAGTATCTGGGACTATAGGTGCTCACCTCTGTGCCATTTTGAGACTTAATAACTTCAGAAACATAAATATCCATTAGAAGAGAAAAGCAGGAGAAAAATAAAAAAAAATAAAAATAAATATTCATCAGAAGAGAAAAGCAGGAGAAGAACCAGACCACATAAAAAAAAGAATAACCGGAATAACAGACTCCAGACCATAAGGTCTGCACTAAGACGGGGTAAGGCAGGGAGAGACAAGAGGATTTCCATGTTAAAGAAACAGTTCTCAATGTTTGTGCCTATATACGGAGAGAGCTTCCTGTTTTAAAAAACAAAATCAACAGAATTTTTTGATAAATGTAAAAGAATGAGAAAGGCATTTCTAACTTAGAAGACCGAGTACAAGGTGACTGCATTTACCAAGTTAAGAAATATTAGAAGAATTGATCTGACAGAGAAAAGTAAAAGTGCCTACAAAAATCTCAATGGGTGATATCCAGTAAACAATCGGAATCAGAGATCTAAAAATTAGAGGGGGAAATATAGAAAGCAGACAAGGTGAGAAGGGCATGAAAGAAACAATCCAGAGAAATATATACATTTAAAGGAGTATTAGAGAAGAATCAAGAGAGGCCAGGCACAGTGGCTCACCCCTGTAACCCTAGCACTTTGGGAGGCCAAAGCGAGAGGATTGCTTGAGGCCAGGAGTTCAAGATCAGCCTGGACAACACTGGACAACATGTTGAGACCCCAGCATGGTGGTACATACCTGTAGTCTCAGCTACTCAGGAGGCTGAGGCAAGAGGATCCCTTGAGCCCATGAGTTTGAGGCTACAGTGAACTATAATGACACCACTGCACTCTAGCCTGGGCAACAGACTAAGACCCTGTTCTCCAAAACAACACAAAACTGAGAAGAGTCAAAGAAGAACCAGGACTAAGTAATGTTATGGAAGCCAAGTCTATAAAGCTATCAGAGAGAATATTTAAAGAGATGAAAGTAAAAATATTACCAAACAATCAAGCTAAACTTTCCTCTTTGAATAAGAAATTGAAACTGTCAACAAAGTCCAAAAAAACAGTAAAACTGTCATTAAAAGTCAGGATAGCAATATCCCTGAGGAGATGGCATATACTCCTTGGAGAAGGAACCATTAGGGGGACTGCTAGGGGTTGTTAATATTCTAGAAGACTATAGGCTGATAAGAATATATCTTTAAAAACAAAAATGATTAACAAAGGTGCAAAAGCAATTCAAGGGAAAAAAAGTCTTTTTTTTTTTTGAAACAGAGTCTCATCTCACTCTATTGCCTGGGTAGCTGGGGCTACAGGCATGTGTCACCATGCCTGGCTAATTTTTTCTATTTTTAGTTGTTTGGCTAATTTCTTTCTATTTATAGTAGAGACGGGGTCTTGCTCTTGCTCAGGCTGGTCTTGAACTCCTGAGCTCAAGCAACCCCTCCCCGGCTCAGCCTCCCAGAGTGCTAGGATTACAAGGCATGAGTCACCACGCCCATCCCCCCAAAAAAGATTTTTCAATAAATGATGCTAGAGCAATTGGACATCCATAAGCAAAAAAATGAACCTAGATCTAAGTTTCCCACCTTGAACAAAATTTAACTTACAGCAGATAGATCCTAGATTCTATAAATTAAATAATGGTCATCCAAAGATATATTCATTTCCTAGGCCCTAGCAATTAGAAATACTAAAAATATTTCCTAACATAGTAACAGGTGAGTATTACCCTCTATGGTAAAGGATTCTGAGACAAGGAGGTTGCAGTGAGCTCCGATGGCACCACTGCACTACAGCTTGGGAGACACAGCAGCGAGAGAGGGGAGGGGAGGGGAGGGGAGGGGAGGGGAGGGAAAGGTCTTTGACTACTCACCCCTTCACCCACTAGATCTGACCCTCCCTCTTATAGTCTCTCTCTGGGACCCCAAGAATTTTATTTGAATTAAAATATATCTCCTCAACATCCAGCTCTAAGAGGGTTGGGAACATAACACTTTGCTCACCACAGTACCCCCAGCATTATAACAGTACCAGGCACCTATAGGCATTCATTAATATTTGGTAAAGCAATGAATGCCAATTTACCTTAATCTAATCCAAAGATTATTAAATTCCTCAACCCAAACATATAAACTAACAGTCCTCAAATCAAAACCTTGAGTGCCTTCTGTGTATAAAACACTTCACTAGCACTGTAATCACTATTGTGTGACATGGCCAACAAATTCCCTTGTATTTACCCTTTGACTCAGCAA